GGGCACGGAGTAGAGTGTCAAAATGAAGTGTCTCTGAACAGTACAGCTGCTTTGAAGCTCTTTTCTTCTAATCATGTGAACATGTGTCCATGTGAACAAAAAGTCACTTCATTGGCCCCAGTCCTGTTAGATGTGTATGCTCTGCGTACTTGATGATTTTGAACTGGCCATACCTTGGCAATTCAAGTAGCAGCTTTGAAGAATCCTCTTGGACAAGCTGTCCAAAGAAACATATTTTTACATATGAACAGCCTGTACTCTAGTGGTATTAGTGGTATTCCATGTGCCTTTCCAGTTTGGAAGCCATGAAGGACAGATATGGGAATAAACCTTTTCTGAATCAAGAAATTCATTATCACAAGAAAGCTGTATTCACATGGCACACTTAACAAGCTCAATTAATGTTGTTGGGGCATATTTGCACCACATGATAAACTTGGTACCCTTAGACAAGGGTATTACTGTGTCATAGAAATCCTGCTTGTATGTATTGCACAAGGTTGTACAAACCCAGAAATGGATGAATTCCATAATCAGCTTAAATATGTGTGAATGCAACCCCTATCTAGCAAAACTCACATTTTATGGGTTTAAAGAACTTTGTCTAAACTCTTTTTATTTCTGCTTCCTGGTTTTCTTCAGGAGTTTGTTATTTAAAAATTCCTGTCTGGTTTTTATTAGCTGCTTCAAAGGCTCTTTTAATTCCAGATATGGGTATCAAGCAGCCATAAACACATTTCTCAGAAGGAAAATTAGGAATGCATTTATAAGAAATAGGCAATACTATAGAAAGAGAAACTACACAAATCTTAAGATAGTTTTGTACTCATTTTATTTCTAATTTAAAGGGAAAAACAATTCTGTTTTTCACTGCATTCATAATTTCTGCTTTACATATAAATTATAAGTCATGGAATAAACTGAAATGGTTGAATTCAATAGGATGAGTCCAAACTAAACACATTACAAAATGTGATCTGTGAACCTAGATTGAAAAAAAAAAGCTGATTCAATATAACAGCAAAATTTGGAATTGTTTAGTAGGGGTGTCAAACTGCTGGCCTGCATCATGCCAGTTGCATCATATGGAGGCCACATCCACCCCAGCTCCGGCAATGCAAAAAAAGTCACGATACATCGCGACACGTGAGGTGCTGAGTTTGACACCCGTGGTTTAGAGGGACCAAGATGATAATGGATCTGGAAGGGAAAACCTTTGAGGAATAAATGGAATCATTGGTTATGTTTAGTATCAAAAAGAGAAGACTATAGTAGAGAGACATGATAAGCATTATAAAGAGTTTATGGCTTTCATGTAGAAGACAGGGCAGAAAACAGGATAAGAAAGAGCAGATTTAATTTACAAGGAAATTATTTTGGTTTGTACTGAAAAATGTCCTAACTGTAAGAGCTTTCGACAATGAAACAGAAGTGCCTTGAGGGATGGTGACCTTGTCTTCAGAGATGTTTAAAAGCAGGTTGGATGAGTACCTGCCAGAGATGTTATAGCAGTACATTTCTGCTGTGGCCAAAGTCTAGGTGTTCTCCAAAATGACTTCCACCCCTTTCATTCCATAATTCCATGATATACCAAGCTCTACATCTTATGCCTTTTAATATGATGAATACCATAATTTTAGATTAGGACATATAAAGATACCACTGATAGGCTGAAGTTATAATGTACATCTTTATCATTTTTTGGCTTTACTTAATAATGATCTCTCATTGTGTTTGGTAGTCAAGGTATAGTAGGATTCCTGTTAAGGTTGACTAATCCTTGGCATTTATTTATGAATTTATGTATAGTTTCTCTGCCCAGTGAAAATGATTTTAGATATCTTACAAAAATTAATAATTACCAATAATAAAATTTAGTCATCAATTAAAATTACAAAATCCAACAACAGAAGGAGCAAACTATAGGAAGTCAGCTTCAACTTCAAAGATACAACATTATAAACTCTTTATGAAAAAATCAAATGTGTTGCTGTTATTGTATGTAATAGGAGACTGGAAAAATGACTTTTGAAAATATGAGACAGACTGTTTAAAGGTAGGCAGTTTCAAAGTAACACTGACCTAATCAGAATAATCATAAAAAGCAGCAAATATTATAACACAATGTATGCAGCAGTGATGGAAAGCCCATTCACCCATTCATAATGTTCCATTTTTTGACCAACTGGAATATCTGACTACTTTACAGCTGCATTATGAAGACTAGGAGATGGAAAGCATTATAAACTGGTATCTAGCCACTCTTCTAAATATTAGATGGAATTGCCTTCAATTTAATCAAGAAAAGGGCTCGCATACTAAGAGCTATAACCAGTAATACAAAAATATTCCCCCTTCTCCATATAAACAATAATTATCTAAAGGTTACCTTTTAATGAAGTTCCTGATTAGCCACAAAATGTTTTTCTTTCTCTCTCAGTTAGTTGTGATTTGTATAAATGAAACATAAGCTGCCTTGGTGGGTTTGAGCCATCTTGGAGGTGGCAGACGACAGAGAGAAGGGTTGTGGGGTTGAGACACTTCAGGCACACATGTGCCAAAGAATTCATGTCATACTTCTCTATTTTGTTTTCTTTCTTTAATAGTGATTTATCTTTCAGTAAACCTCCACTTAATATATAATCGCTTACAAAGGCAGTACGGTTGTCTGTCTCCGAGCCACACTTCCACCATCTGATTTCAAAACAGGGATGGATAATCATCCTTGTCAATCCAATATTTCATATTTGCAGAATGAATAAACAGACAGGACTGAACATAGGAACTAGAATTATGAATGGCCCTCAGAAAGCAGAAATGGAAATTTGCTTGGATTCTCAACATATTTACCAGGTTAATTTAAATCATTAAAGGAAAAGATGGTTGAGTCAATCTTTTACCTTCTTCAGGTTTTTTAAGACATAAAAGTAAATATTATTCAGTGGAATTCCCAAAAGTAAGTCATTCCAGTTTGGGTTGCTTCTTTCACTGTCAAAATACCTTGATTCATAACTGAATTTTTTTATGTGTTATGTTTTAGAACAGGGGTGTCAAACTGCCGGCCCCTAGGCCGGATGCGTCGTGCCGAAACCGCCCCCACCCTATTTCCGGCAATGGGAAAAAAGTCACGATACGTTGCGACACGTCACGTGACGTGACGTTGCGAGTTTGACACCCCTGTTTTAGAAGGATGCATTTTATAATAATTAAATATATTTTGCTACTTTAGAAATATACCATGATATCTTGCTTAGCTAATAAATAACTTCCTGACAATTCGATATTAGTGGCAAGGTGTATCAGGCTAGCAACCAGCAATTAATTCCATGTTTTAAAAAATCAAACTTATTTCCAGATATGATTTCCTTTCTGTACTAAGTGGAATTCCCCACAGGGCTATCTTTAAATAGAAAAGGGGCCTCAAGGTGTTTGAGTCTGATAATATAATATGATTGTTCTCAAGCAATCTTTGTATAAATACAGATGAAAAGATTTACAAATTCCCACAATGGAAGAATGGATGGTGAAAAGTTAGTGAAACTCGCTGAGAGGGTGAAGCTAACTACTTTGATTAAAGAAAAAACTTTGTGTAACTTCGTTTCTTTGTAGAAATCACTTTTGGGCTTTTTTGCTAGCCGCTGAAAGAACTGCTATATTAATTTTGAGTTTTGAATTGTTTATGATTATAGAACTACTGTGTAATATTGAATTTTGCATCTAAAATTTAATGTATCTTAAATTTGTGAGAATTGAAGAAAATTGGAAATTACTCTTTTTCTGTTTCTTTTTTTCCTTATCCTTTTGCAGCTCCCCTTCCCTATTTTTCCTGCTAAATTCTTTTTTCTTGTTTTTTATAACTTATCTTTTGTAGAAATTTAATAAAGAAATTTAATAAAAAATTAAAAACATTTTTATAAGGTAATGAATAATCATATAATTAACATTTTACTTTTCCATTAAACATATTTTTGTATTTTAAATTAATCTGTTTTCTTCTTCTTTTCTCTCTCCTCTTCATAAATTACAAATTTTAACTGTCCGGCATTCCTGGCACCTGAGCTCAGAAACCACTGTAAGCTTCATTATAAAGGTTATATAGTGCCCAGCTGATCCTGATCTTTCCCCCCATAGAACTATGATCCTTCCTAAGGTTAATGGATAACAGCATGCATAGCCATTTTTGCCAACCTGGTAGCTGCCAAAAGAGATACCAATCTGTTCTCTGCATTAATAATGTATGTAGTCCAGATATGGTGTCTGTAACGCATCTAGTGCCAGCACATCTGGATTTCCCAGGCAACAGGATAGGGGAAGACTAATTTGTAATACGATACGAAGTTACATGTTTTCGTCCCCTGCTCTGAGATATTTGCCTTTCAGCAAGGTAAAGACTTATTGCATAGTACTGGCTTTTGCAGCTGGATTATAAAATGATCAGTCCCTGTCCTTTGCATGTGACCAGGAACATACCACAACTTTTCCTCTGTACCGTATAGGTTGGACTGCAATTTCCACGGTCCCTAAATTACATGACTGGAAAAATAGCCACAAGTAATCAGTTTCATAAAATAACAATAANTTTATAACAGGATACTACTCATTGAATTCTAAGGAGGGTATGATTCTAGTTACAAATTGGTATGAAATGATATGTATTCATGCTAGCCTTTCTGAAACAACGTTGGACACTTCTTCATTTGCAAGAGTAAACATAATGTCTTCCCCAACCACCCTTGAATTTGCTTGGAGATTCTGTGTGATTCAAAAGTTTGCATGCAGTCTAAGTATTGTCCTGCTTTATTGTTGTTTTTATTTTGCATCTTTATTTTCACTGCAGTAGAAGAAAATAAAATATTTGATTATTGATGGTATAAGTGTCAAAAAGCTATTCATAATGTTTTAAGATCTCTTGATTTACTTCTTAGGCTTGGTTCCTGATTTCACAGCTCTCTCTTTCTCTTTCCTCTCCATCCCTCCCTTTTTTTCCCCTGGCACAACAGGAATCATTAACCAGTGGCAGCAGGAATCGAAGGACAAAGTGATTTCTCTGTTGCTCACCCACCTGCCTTTGCTGAAGCCAGGGAATATTGAAGGAAAAGTGGAGTACATGAAGCTTCTTCCAAAAATCCTGGCTCATTCAATTGAACACAACCAACACATAGAGGAGAGCAGGCAACTCCTGTCCTATGCTTTGATCCATCCTGCCACATCCCTGGAGGACAGGAGTGCTCTTGCCATGTGGTTGAACCACTTGGAGGATCGCACATCAGGTATTTTTGGCAGCCAAAACAGGGGCCGGTCTGACTCCGTGGATTATGGGCACTCACATTACTATCACCAAAGACAGAACTCGGATGATAAACTCAACGGCTGGCAGAGCTCTCGGGATTCTGGCATATGTGTGAATGCCTCCAGCTGGCAAGATAAAAACCTGGCGTGTGAGAATGGTCACCTCCCTCTCTATTCCTCCTCCTCTGTTCCTACAACCATCAACACGATTGGAACTGGCACAGGCACAAGTAAGTCGGTAATGTTTTTAAAGGTTGATGCTTTGCACCAGGTATGTCTGCCTCCAGAATTCAATACTGGATACTTCATTTCTAATCCACTCCACTACAACACTGATTAAGAAATTATAGATGCAAAAGAGATAAAAGCAAGAAACTGGAGGGGCAGAAATATTTAATAACTTCAGTGGTAACTTTGATGGGGTTTTGCATATCCACATATCCCTGTAAATAAGATGTAGTAGAAAAAGACAATCAAACAGCAATTGTCTGGCAAAACTGTCTTCTCAGTTCTTTATTAGAACAAACATACGATGCAAAATAAAATCAGTGTAGATAGTCCTCAATTTAAAATCATTCATTTAGCAACTGTTTGGTCACATGATCTAAATTCAGATGCTTGACAACCAGCATGTATAATAGTTTCAGCGTCCCAGAGTCATATGATTGCCATTTGTGATCTTCCCAGCCAGTTTCCAACGAGCAAAGTGAATGGGGAAAACCAGATTCACTTAATGACCACATATTTCACTTAACAACTACAATGATTAACTTATCTGAGGAAAGAATGGTTGTAAATTAGGTGCAACTCACTTAACAATTGCCTTGCTAAGTGATTCTGTTTCCAACTGTGGTCCTAATTCAAAGACTACCTGTAATAAAATGTCTCTGTACCTCTATGGATATCCATCCATGTTCACACGCATATACACTCAGGTACACTATGTTATATCTTCTCCGTTGTCATGCAGGTATTTCCTCTACAGTGAATAAGTTCTAAGAAAGAAGAGGACAATGCAGTAGTTGATTGAGATAAAATGAAAGAATTTAATCAGTAACGTATAATAGCCAGTTGATTTATTATAGCTTCAGTTTTCTCCATGGAGGATTTTTGTACAAGTTTAATGTACAGAACTGATGGTCGTCCAGATGCAACTGAAACAGAACTCAGAACATCCCTCAACACCCGATGATGCTAGAGCATCATCATGCATGTCGGGACCTGGCTGCTCATTTCCGATAATGAGCATTGTCTCTTAACCCTCTGCATCTTTATAACTGATTATGAAACAGTGTAGACGTGAGGATGGCAGGAAGCCAGTTCAGATTTGCATGCGCAAAAGCAGACAGACAAAACATGCAACTGTTACAACAACTATCAACACATTAAAGCAAGTGGCTACCTAAAATAATTTCTTATGGGAAACAATCAGTTTGACTTCTCTGTCCATATTTTGGAAACCCACAATTAAGCAATGGAAATAATTCATAGCTCTTTTTTTTTTGTTCTTTCGCATTCCTTGCTTCCCTTTTTCCTTTTTCCTTGAGGAATATTTTACATATTTTGTTACTTCAGTTCTGCATTTCTAATCAATTTGTTTTACAATTTACTTGTAGAAGAGATGCTTCTTACTGAACAGGCCAGTTTTGTGTAATAGTGTCTGCAGAGGTGAGCAATGATGGGACAGCAGCTACAAACTTGTTGTAGTTGAAGTGAGTTATCTGGACCTCATTCAGTCAGGATTCAGGTATTATATTAGACATAACCTTGGGGAAGGTATGAAAAAACCATCAGAGAATAACTTGAGAAAAGTGTACACAGTTCAGAGATTGAAGCACGTATGAGAGAGAAACTCGAAGTAATCCTGCCTTTGATTTTGTTTATTGTGAAATGTGAAAGAGAGAATAGGCTTTCAAGATTTTGTTCCTATAGTCTATGACAACAATAACATAGCATTCTTGAAATTCATGCTCTGGTCTTGACCCACTTATCTCGAAGAGTTGACAAATGAGAACCAAATTGGTTGCCCTGATCTTGTGACCTGGTTGGGGTATGCCCCTTTTCATCCTGCAAGATTTCTTTGTGATTTTTGGGGTACTCTTAACAGGAATCTTTCTGGACTTTGAGCAGAGGTCAGGAGTCTGTCTGAATGGGTAGTTCAGTTTGGTGATGGGAAAAGGAGGGGCCATCCAGTGAATGGTCATTTGTGGGATGCTACAGGTAAAACCAATCTGTTTAAGTTTAATTTATCCAGAAATGAGATGTTAAAAGTACTTGAGATGTTGAGGTCATAGGAAAAGAGTATAATTCCTTTCGATTTATGCTCCATCTCTGTGGAACAGTTTATTTAATTCTATATCCCATTTATATTGCCCTACAGTTGTCTGCAGATTTTTGGTGGCATACAACATGAAAAACAAAAATAATAAAAATTAAAAATATGAAAGCCAACAGTAAAGAATACACATTTTACCCATGGAGATGAAGATGGTACCATTCTTGATGGTACTTTATAATATGGTTAAAATGTAGCTTGTCTGCAGAACTTTTTAAGAACGGAATTGGTTATGAAAATATGGATGCTGGCTTAGGGTGAGACATTTTATTGTTCTTAGCAATGCATGTTCAGTGTTTTGCAAACCTCTAGAAAATCTTGTAGAGTCATCAACTGTAATAAATACTGTAAATAAATAAAATAGGTAGTCCTCGATGTACAACCATAATTGAGCCCAGAATTTCTGTTGTTAAGTGAGACATTTGCTAAGTGAGTTTTGCCCCATTTTACGACTTTTCTTGCCACTGTTGTTAAGTGAATTATTGCAGTTGTTAAATTAGTAACCCAGTTGTTAAGTGAATTGGGCTTTCTCATTGACCTTGCTTGTCAAAAGGTTGCAAAGGTTGATCACATGACCCTGGGACGCCGCAACTGTCATAAACATGAACCAGTTGCCAAGCATCTGAATTTTGATCACATGACCATGGGGATACTGCAATGGTCATAAAGTGTGAAAAATGGTCATGTCACTTTCTTCAATGCCATTGTAACTTTGAACAGTTACTAAACAAACTGTTGTAAATCGAGGACTGCCAATATTCTAACATTCTTAATTCAATCTACACCTTCACTTGCCTCCATACATTCAACCATTGCTTAAGACCAGACACTTCATTCAGATCTCTTGCACTCATCACTTTTCTCTCATCGTTTCACCGATACACAATACCACCTATATTTCTTTCATTTCATTTCATCCATCCATTACCATTCTCTTTTGCTTGCTTTTTCAGGGTTGCAGCTGTTTTTCTTAGTCTGTACGCCATTCAGAGTCAGTGTTGAGTTGGGCAGCCTTATGAACCTACTAGAGGAAGGCTGCCCATATCTATTGCACATGCTTTTTGAAGTGCCGTGAAGCCTTTTCAATGGGCAGGTTCTCAACCAGGTGAGCCTGACCCACTAAAGGCAGATGTGGCTTCCTTCGAGCATCGTCTGCTTCTCATTGGGTGCTCCTTTCTGAGTCAGTCTCCGCTTGGTGCACAATGTTCCATTCAGCTACACTGCTGGCATGAAGCACCCTTTCCCACCGAAAGAGCTGCTATGTAATACTTTTTTTCCTTTGGCCTGAATGTTCTCTCCATGTCGTTCCTGCACAAATAGCCCTTGTCCCAGGCCAAGATACTTCCTGACTTGCTACAATGAGGGCGTTCTGCTCTCACCAGGAGCACAGCTTGGTCTGCCTAACACGTCTCTCTTGTTCAACAAGAGGTTTGTGGAATTTCTCCCCTGCTGGAAAATTTATAAAGTGGGATTTTAAATACAACACATACATTTAGAATCTGCAGATTGTGTATCCACATGGCGTATAGATGCATGCTTTTGAAAGGCAGGGGTTTTTTTTTAGAAGTTAACAGTCTAAATTTAACATTTTTACTTAAAGAAGTGTTAACAGTCTTTCACTTGCACATATAAAATGAAAACATACAGAGATCTGCCGTCAGATGAACACCTGGACTTGATTTACTTGTTTGTTTTTTGCAATCCCCAGAAAGTTCTCAAGATTATGATGCTAAAATTCTATGCCAACCGCCTACCTGCCTGAGTTCAATTTTCTTCTTCTTTAAAATCAGCAGTAAAACAGCAAGTGAAGCTGCAATAAACTCAACACATCATTTTTTCTAAAGAAACTCCAAAATTCCTTCCCCCTTCCCCCTCCCCCCCCCTGCAATCCCCTGGTCCAAAAGAAACCATAAAAGGTATGGCTCCTGCTGTATAAATAATGCCTATTTAGAGGGAGTCAGATTTCATCTAATGTATAACCTACAGATCTTACTGTACAGTATTTCCTTCACCAGTAGCCATGATGGCCAAGGCTCCTGGGAGATGTAGTATCCTGTGAACTGCTCTGGTTTTAGGTCAGGCTAAAATCAAAAAGTCTAATATTTATTTGTAAGTAAACTTTCCATCCTGTTCTTGAGTCTAAATACTGTCAGATGAGCTAACAGTTAAAAAAAAAACAGTAATATCAACGTAGTAAAACAATCAGGTATGAAACTCTGAGACAGAATCACATATTAAAATATCCAGATATTAAACAACAATTCCCCAAACAGTGGTCTAATATTCATCCATCCATCCATCCATCCTATATATATCCCATCTCTAAAGCTCTAGATAATTAAGTATAAAAATAATAATAGGTCTCACAAAATAATAAATTCCTTCACCATACAGAATGCATTATGGTACTCAAGCAGGAAGTAATTAAGCATGAATGTCTGTGAGCAGGATCCCAGTTCAGGAATTGCCCGTAGTGGCACACAGGATCTCCCTGTGGAAATACTCATACTTGCTACTTGTTCAGCAAACAGGAGCTGTGTATTCAGGAGGACCCTCAAATTGGGAATCATCTGAATAGGAGACTACAATTTAGTTCCAGATCAAATGTGAGATTTTTTTGAAATTAGTTGGCCCACAAACATAAATGCCTTCCATCTTGGGAAGATTCATTTCAAGTGTCTTCCTTCCCATCCCAATCCTGGCAATTTCCAGGCACCAATTCAGCATTGTAATATTAGCACTATGTCCTCTTTTAGTCCATGTCTGGGAGATAGAAGATAGATAGAAGGTAGGTAGGTAGGTAGGTAGGTAGGTAGGTAGGTAGGTAGGTAGGTAGATAGATAGATAGATAGATAGATAGATAGATAGATAGATAGATAGATAGATAGATAGATA